ACTCTCCTTCCCCAGCCCCCCCCCCCCTTCCCCCACCTCCCTCCCACCCCTCCCCAACCAGCTGCATTTTTTGAACCCAGTTCCCTCTTGGCCCTTCCAACCCCAGCCTCTCTGGCTAACAAACAGAAGATGATTTCAAGCATAGCAGACTTCTTACATTCTGTACTTACACTCAATCATTTTCTGCAGACTTTGTCTCATAACATGGATATTTTCAATTCCGACAAACTGAAACTTGACATTCTCATAAAAATCAGTGCTTTCATATCCTTTCCCAGCTGCTTTATTTGCCATGGCATTAATCTGCAAAGACAGTAAAGGTGAGTCATTTGACCAGCATTGATGATGATGATGATGATGCATTTATGTCACACATTCCATATGATTATACTCCACTGTGTTTTACTGCACTTTTCTGGGGACTTTAAAAAAATTGTCATACCTTTGGTCTTGTGTCCACAATGTACACATATTTAGCATCAGGTGTTGCTTTTGAGATGGCTTGAATTAGATTTTCATCCTCCTGACATCTGGAGTTAAACCCTGATAGAGGTTGACTACAGCGGCAGATTGCTGCCTAAACAAAAAAGAAACAAAATTTTGTTCAAAAGACAATTTATAGGCATTAATTTATGCTAGCAAAACTTGTCATTTCCTACTGAAAATGAAAAGCTTTACAAAGAGCTTAAAAAGATTTACTTGCCACAAAGACTATGGAAAGTGTATCAGCTTAACCTCTACCTTTGTATTCCTGTACAGGTAAGATAAAGCTGGAAGTCTGCCTCGACTGCGGAACCTTGAGCTACCAATGAGAACTGAGTTGGAGGCAGCGGAGGGCAGATATAGAACACTTGGATACGTATCACAGACCTGTATTAAAAAAGAATCGGTGACTTATGAGCGAGAGAGTTTAAAACAGTAATTAGTATAGGTAATAACATGATTTCAAGTGCAATTTGGTGTTATAAGCACAAGTAAATTTACATGTGCTTATCACACCAAATTGCAAAAGAAAGTCAAGCATGACAAAATTTTGAAAGTATGCCTGCACTATTTGTAATTTGCTCTTTTGTTACAACTTTACACTCATGTTACATGAGAACGCACTCATTTTCAGCCAATCAGAAGTGTGTAATTTTTTTATGCACATTATTAACAGAGGAAAAAAAACTATTTTGGTTACAGAGGGGATACTTGAGAGAGAGGGGTTACTAAGAGAGACCTGACTGTCTACAGATAATTCAAAAACTAAAATCAAAATGAAGTTATGTACTTAGTCTTACTTTGTAGTCTTTATTTATGTGGCTACAACACCATTCATTGTTTGGCAGTCCCATACGTGCATATTCTGACTTGATATCAAATAAGGCCCAACCAGCAGACCGTGTCAGCTGCTCACTTTGTGGATTGTAAGAGAAGGCATACAAGTCTTCAAGTTTCTCTGTAATGAAGAGAAATTGAAACAACATTATTCACTAGATCTTTCAATCCCTTTTGGAACTTTGCTGCTCCCCCAGTCTATTTTTTTTAACTGCCATCAAAGTCTAAAAACAAAAATAGCTTCAAAGCTCATTAAGAAGTTAATGCTGGCTCCAAACCCTACTCTGAACATTTTTTCAATCTTACAGGAGTTGGCATTTTGACAATTAACACTACTGCTATGGTACCCTGTTATATAAAGAAATCTTATCATTACCACAGGCTCCACAATAGTAAGGCATGTGTTTCATATTTTTTGTTGGCAATGCATAAAAGTATTGTAGACAATGTGACCTTCCTAGAGCCATAATAAAATATATTACCAAACAATTTTAAATTTTAGTGACCCAGTACTGAATTTATTTGCTACTCTCCACTCTGTGACTGGTTATTAAAATAATAATAATAATAATAATAATAATAATAATAATAACAATAATAATAATAATAATATTTAACAAGGGAGCCCAACTCACCACAGCGGTTTTCAGTGGGGCCCTCATATGTTTGCATACCACTTAATATGCCACTTTCTAAACTAATCCCATGCAAAAATATATTCAATTCAAAATAATTTGGTTTTATCAACTCAGTTGATAAAATCAAATTATCTTTTTATACTTCCCTGCTGACGCAGTACCACAGTTTCTTAAGAAGATTACTCCCCTTAAAACCAATTCAGACTTAAATAAAGGGGGTAAAGATTTTATCAACTGAGTTGATAATGTAAATTGGCCACCGTAAAGAATTTCTAAAGCAGACGTTTGAAACATCAGCTCTAAAACTCTTTACTGTGGCCAATTTACATTACCAACTCAGTTGATAAAACCAAATTATCTGGTTCAAACCTAGTCACCTGAAATTTCTAGCAAATCAGGTTGTTTAAATATTTCCATTTCAATTTATGATTGGCTTTTTCTAGTAAATATTCCTTTGTTCTGATTGGCCATTCAATTTACTGTTAGTTTCCTCAAATTAAATTTTTCTCAAATTAAAACTTCTTTATTGTGTTTGAGTTTTTTACCATACTTTACCTGGTTTAGATAGTTGTAACAATGAAGTGTAAATTTCCTGGCCATCTCTGTCTCTTGAAACTACAAATGTCACAATCAAGAATGTCTTGCAGCGAATCTTCAAAGGTGATCCTGCTGCTGTGAGGGGAAGCTTCTCCACTGATGCAATGTGGGAATGTAGAATCTATAAAAATTAAATGCATTTGAGAATACACGTATATGATCACAATTAAATGTAACAAATTATATTTTGATACAGATGATAAATTATGTAATTCAAGAAATTATCCTCACAGGAAACCTTTAACTCTTTAACTCCCACAAGTGATTAACATGAAACTTTGCCTTATAATATCCATACATTATTCAGCAAACAGGTAATGAGAATGTTCAAACTTATCAGGTAGAAGCTGCTATCTTGATCTAGCACCAAGTTCTTGTAACTAATTTACAAGGAAAAGTGTAGCAGTTAGAGAGGGGAATTATCAATCAGATCTTGGGAGTTGAAGAGTTAAATAATGAAATTGAAGAAATTGAGCCTGAAAGCCACATAGCTAACAAATACAAACAGGATTTAAAGTAAATTTTAACACAATCACATCATTCTAAGGCAGGTATGTTAAAAACTGAAGGAAGCATTCTTTTGCTCAGCACAGTTTGTTTGTTTTGAGAACAGCTGGTGAGCAAGGAGCGAAGGGGGAAGGGGATGAAGGGTTTGTAAAAAAGTTAATTTTTACATTCCCTTTTCCAATGTGCCAAGTTCTAACTTACCCATGTTTCTTTGGAGCAATCTGGATCAACAAATATTAGATGAGTAGCTGTAAGGTATAAATTACCCACTGCAACCTTCCTTTTTCCATTCTTTGTCATTAAACGGACATTTTCAATCTATGTATCAGGAAAAGAGTAACAAATTCTTACAATAGTTCAACAGCATGAAAACCAGCCTCTGAAGGTTTGCTTATGGCAAGAAAAGAACAATTTAACCTACATAAAAGCTGCCAATGGCCTAATATAAACACTGCAGGTTTTAAGAACACATTTGTAAATAGATTAATTTATAAATACAACCTTTTATGATATTTTATGCCAGATATATTGTATCTAGTTTGATCTTTTTATTTTTTTTCTTGTATTTTAATTTTTGGCTGAACCTTGAATCTTTTATCCTGTAACATTAGATATGTATTTTTATCTTATGAGCAATAAAGACATTTATTATTATTCTTAGATGAGAAAAACAGGTTTCAAATCATTCATTGCTGTTTTCATCACAACATTATTGAAGAGAAGATTTCCCATAGGGGTGCTTTGTTGTGGAACAGTCTTTTCCATGAACTCAGATCAACATTTTTTTAAATTAAATTAAAAAGTATTATGTGGCATTATAGCTTTTGAATGAAACACAGCATCCTCAAAAAGCAGCTGGAATTAATCAGTTTTATTCCTATCATATTGCATTAATTATTAGTTTGTTTAGCCGGGCAGAATTTGATATTCCATACTCTTAGATTGTGCTGAAGGATTTTACTGTGCAGAAATAAAGTTATCTATCTACATAAAACCCAATTTATGAAAAACTCAGTAAGATTTCTCCACAACCCTATACCATTGTAAAACACAGTCTTGTTATGCCAAAGACAATCTGTTGTTTTTTCCATTGTCTTCTTCATCCAAGAACTGCAGTCACAATGAAGTATAGGACTATAGAGAAATCTCACCAAAACCTCTAATAGGGAGCCCTATTTCTGGTTCTTGCAGCTGCCTACTTATAGTCTCGTCCACTGTTATTTATCTTGTATTAATTATTGTTCAATAAATTAACGTCTATTTCCCAAGGAAGGATGGTACAATAGAAGATGTATCTCAGGAAACTCTAATTTTGTTTCAGTATGTAGTAGATCAAGGAGCCAAAAAAAGGCATTCTGATGTCTTAACGGTTAAAAAAAGCAACTTACGCTTCACCAGAATGTTATTCAATATCAGTGTCTGAGTAATATGCAGACAAAATTTAGATGTATTCATGTGAAACAAGTTGCGCGAGGAGGAAAAATAAGAAAATCAACGAGAACTTGTCAATCTTCGGCTTGATTTCTTCCAATCTCTCGAAATTAAATCAGGCTAAAAACACTTTTCCAGTATTTTCCAAAACTTTTAGATAAAAGTATTCTTCTTTGGATGGATAAAATGAGCTGAAAGCTGCACAAATGCCGGTCATGTGATCGATGCCGAAATTGGATCTATTTCTAAGTGTGGACGTCACCTTAATTTACCTTTGGTGTCTTTATTAGATCCATCCCCGATACGAAGAATTCCTCCTTTAATCGTATTCCTCGGATCTTTTAGGAAATTTATATTTCTACCTAAATTTTCAGAGTTCCAATCGCTTCAGTTACCCAACCTCCGCCGGCTGCCATGTTGAATGGTACAGCTGCAATCCCGTGATGCAATTGATGAATTTTATAACAAGCGTTCTGATTGGCTGATTTATCGAATGCAATTGTCTCCAGGAAATCAAAATCAAAATGGCGGCGGCCACAACTGGAGGTCTTTTTGGCAGCGGTTCGACAGGTTTCTCTTTCGGAAGCGGTACCACTGGAACACTAAGTTTTGGTACTGGTACTTCGACCGGCACTTCGGTAGGTGGAACCGGATTTTCCGCTATTAAACCCTTCGGAGCTTCTATTACTTCATCGACCATGAGCACGCCGTTTGGTCAATCAACGGCCGCTTCTACTGGGGCCACTTCTGGATTCAAATTTGGTGCTGTAGGCGCCCCTTCAACAGCAAATTTTTCTGTATTTAGCGCAGCGAAAACCGCGGCAACAGCTTCTACCTTGGGAACATTTGGACAAACCAGCCAATTAGGGCAAAGTACTGGTTTTACCTTAGGGGCAACACCGGCGTCTGCTGCAACAACAGGACTTAATCTGGGGAGTAGTCTGTTTAAAGGAAACACTGCAACGACAACCAAAGCAACATTGCTTGGAACTTCTTCAACTGGTGTTGGGTTAGGACTGGGTAGTAGCACAGGTATTGGTACATTTACAAGTTTAAGTGCAGTAAAAACTACAGTGGCCACAAGTACTGTAGCCTCAACCACCCTAACTGGCTTAGGTGGGACTGGCACAAGCACTAGTGGTGGAGTCACCGGCACAGTCGGTGGTGTCACAGGGAGAGAGGGGTAAGTTGACAATATCTAAATTTTAACCAAGTTTCAGATCTTATCTTTCCTAGTACATGTATACAGATCATGTTACCTAGCTTCAGGGGTTATCTTTTTTCAAAATAGTCATTACTGCAATGAGCTTATTCAAAACAGGGTTCTTACTAGAGACAGGGTGTTTATTTCTTTTTTAACCCTTTACTCCCTAACGTCAATATGCATATTCTCCACACTGCTCCCTATACATTTCCTAAGGTGCTGACAAGGAGAATTTGTTCAACCATCAAGAGCTTCTTAAGTTGGTTATCATCTCCTTTGTTCTCATGACCTTAATCTTTCACTCAGGAGTGATGTTATATGGAGAAAGTAGATGTTAGTCACTCATAGGGGTTAAAGGATTAAGAAACAACAGAATACGAGAAACAAAGCTTTGATGTTTATTTGTAAACTGTAAATTCAGGGCGTGAAATTGTGCCTAATACAGGCGCCAATGCAACTAAATTTTTCAATTTGGCGACCAAATCTTGAAAATTAGTTGCCAAATTGGCAACTAGAATGTTCATCACAACCGTACCGAGAGACATAGTGAATAAAAAAGATTTGCAAAGATAAATCCGTGGCAAACTTCCTCGTTAAGTATGTTTCCAAAACTCAGCACATGCGTCTCAATCGATAACTACACGCCATCTTGGATTTAGGTGAGCTTGAAAGTTGTATATCATCCATCCTAGTGTCCACTTTTCAGAACGTTAGATCTTTTCCCTAAATTAATTTTGGAGGGTCTATCTAGAACGTTGACAGCGTAAAAAAAGGTTTTGTTTGTCTTTGAAAATGGCGACCAACTTTTTTTGAATTGGCTACCACTTTGAAGAATTTAGGAGCCAAGTGGCTATCAAAAAAAAAAATTAATTTCATGCCCTGAAATTTAATTTAAAAATGTACAGTGAATATTTGTATAATAATGGTAGGGAGTGTACTGCTAGCAATGCTTTTACAAAAACAGAATAGGGAAGCTTATTGGAATGAGGGTGCTTGTGCAACAGGGGCACTTAACAAAAATTAAACATGCTTACCAGAGAGGGGGAAGCTTATTGGAATGTGTGAACCATCTGTAAGGTTTGAGTCTTTCTCTTGATGGTAATTTGAATATGCCCAATTTTGAAAAAGTAATCTCTCAATCTAGTACTGTTAGGTGATATGTGATGGGACATGCTTGCTCAGGAATTAAATCAGTGATCTCTTTTTAAATTTTGTTTCAGTGATGTAAAAGATACACCTTTGCCTAATACTTTGAATGAAATTGCAGAGCACATCAAGTAAGTTTCAGGGACACTTCATCAATGTGATGCCTGTGTCTGTCATTTAATTAAGTCTCAATCATAGTTACAAGGATAACAGTAATAACATCAACTATATTGAAAGAATGGTTAAGTTTGATGCTTTGTTTTTCATTTTGCAAAAGGTAACCTGAATTTCTAAAGCTTGAAGTTCCCAAGCCCAGTATGGTTTTGTGACTCTTTCTTGTATAAAATTCTTGTCCATTCAAGATAACCCTTAGCAGTCTTGCAAGAGTTCCCCAACATTTAACTTCTCCCTAAAATATCCGAATAACATTCAGAAAACAGGGAGTGGATGTACTCAAACTTATCAGGTAAAAGTTGTTTTCTTGATCTACCACAAAATTCTTATAACTAATTAACACAGAAATGTGTAGCAGCTAGTAGGGAGAAGTAACATTCAGGATTAAATGGTACCAATCCATACTCCTGGGTAGAGAGGAGCATAATGAGAGTGGATTGTCTTACCATAAAACACAAAAAAAATCTGGCTAACATTTTGTCATCCTCTGTTCATCTGCAGCAATATTAATTTGTGGTAAGAGCTATCCACCACTATGATAGATCGCTAGTATTTGAAATTCATATCTTCACAGCTTTTGGGATTTTGAATAGTTGACTGGCAGAGGAGTTAACATTTCAAGCACCTTAATTGCTGTTTGTTTTTGTCATAGAAAATACGTCAAAGAACAAAAGGAACACAAAGATGAGATTTCCAGAGCATCAGGGAGTTTATTAGATAAAGTAAGAGAGGAAACCATTGCCCTAAGACAGGCTCTAGCCTTGGTGTCCAATAGTATTCAGCGAGATGGATGTTCTGTGGAAAACCTCAAAATTGATGTATCCAAGGTGAGTTTCTTTGCTTTTAGGCAAAAGAGAAAGTTAACTGTGCTTACAAACCCTTATCTAAGCACCCAGAGGTTGCGAGGATTTTTGCTAGTTATTTATTGTAGGAGTTTGTCCCAACTCCCTTCCCCTCTACCTCAGTGTTTAGAGAAGACTATGTTGACATGGTTTTAACATTGGCCACTTTTTTATTGTTTTTATCGAAAAAGAATCCTTCAGGTGTTGAGCATTAGAAAATAAAATACACTTTTTCAAAGAAAAGGGATGAAACTTTGTATCACTCTTTCTTTTCAGATAACTGTGAAGTAGAAGTTGCGCAAAACATGGGCAATTTTTTTGTTATGGCTTTCACTCCTTGTTTTTAAAAATGAACTTGGGAAATCAAAACTTTGATTTGATATTTAGGAGCTGAAAAATGCTGAAATTGCACAAAGAACCAATGATATTCCTCAACCGTTGCAACACGAGAATGTGGCACCTCAGGAGTACTTTCAGCGCTTGGTAGAGTCATTTGAACAAAGGATGTTGATGTACAGGATACAGATTGAGATTATGGAGAGCCATCTTGCTTCCATATCCCAAGGGCAAACATTGACCCCACAAGGTGTGTATTGAGCATGTCTACAGAAGATCTCTTTGTACAGTGGAACCTTGATTATCCCGACCTTGATTATTCAGATTTCTAGATTATCCTGACTTTTTCTCTGATCCCAATTTTGTTATGAATATTTATTAGTTGCGATCAAGATCCGTGGCCATATTCTTTGGATCTATAGTGTTGAAAAGTGAAGTATGGGCATGTTGTTTCACTTTCAAAAAGCAAAAGCAGCACTTGTATGCATCATAACTAATGAAGAACATTCGAATAATGTCTGACTGGCTTAGATTTGCTTTGTTATTGGCTTGTTTAGCATGGTATGCAAGATAAACAAGCCTCACAGTGTCACGAATATGTTATCATGTCCTTGATTTGTAAATGTTTTGTTTTATGATTAAATATTGCTTTCTTAATGTAATCAGTTTTTGTTCCTCAATAATATTCATTTTCTTGATTATCTGGACCCTAGATCATCCAGACTATTTCATTTAGTCCCAATGAGTCCGGATAATTGAAGTTCAACTATAGTCACTCAGGGGTTTCAAACAAGCTGGCTGCCGCTGGAGTTCCACTGGCTACTTGATAACATGTCACCGGTCACTCTGGACAAAATAATTACCTTTTGATCCATATCACACATTTCACCGTCACCTACTTCTGCAGTCTGATGTTTTCTACAGAGAATTTTGAAACCCCTGCTCACTTGTACAACACAGGGCTACAACCTCAAATTCTTTCAAAATTGCCTTTTGAGGAATGCAAATCATAAAATGGCCATCAAGGATTGAAATTTTAGATGTCAGAAAAAGTTGTTTTTGGAGGTTCACAAAACATCTTAATACATAATAATTGGATAATCAGAGGCAATTTTCACAAAACACAGAACAGAGCGTTATATATAGTGTTGTTTGCAGACAGTTGCTGCACTTCTGCTGAAGTTATACAAACTTTAAATCTTGCTGCAAAGTTAGTTGCCACTGCTTTTATTTGCTGGTCATTAAAACCATTGAAAGTGGTCATAACTTGCAGGGCTGCAATGTAGGTGTCACTGTATCATCCTAAATATTGGTCTCTGTACTTTTCTGAATAATAACACTTACCACTTGAATGTTTTACCATTTTGGTCACGTTTGCAAGTAGAAATACTAAGTTGTGTTTTCTGTTTTGTTATGTTTTGTTTACTCAGATCTTTCTGAGGTTATGCACAAAGTGCATGAAACATTTATTGCTTTAGCAGCCAAACTACATGAAATCCATGAAGCTGTGAAGGTACAAATTTCAAGCCAAATGTCATGTGTTATTGATCTGTCATGTTGATAGGTGGCTCATGCCACAATTTGTTGTAGATAAAAACAGCTAATGAGGAAAGTTCAGCCACATTTTAATTGTCCTGTTTTCTATGGTCTTTTTTATCTGTTCTCTGTCTCTCAGACTGAAAGACAACAAGGGCAGCAACGACTCTTATTCTGCTCTTGTGTCAAACATTTGATATTTTTAAATTTCTTACAGATGCAAAAAGAACACTACCTTAACTACAGAAGAGCTTACTTTAAAGACAGTACAGATATTTTTTCATACAGTTCAAAGGATTTATCAAAGACTGGTAAGTGTTAGGCACATACAGTTCACTGTTGTCATAAGGAGCCTGAAGGCAGGGGAAATCCACCACCTGTCTGACCATTGCACTTGTCACTTCATTAATTGTGATCAAAGACAGAAAATAGGTAGTTTTTAACTCATTCTAACATTAATGTCTGGCTTCAAAAAATTACTCAAATATGTCCCAGAATGCCAAAGTCACATCTTGGAGAGTTTCAAACTTCAACTTTTTTAATAAACCCCAAAGCAGGGTCTTTTAGCTAATTTAGCCACCTACTCAGTTCAAATGATACATCTTTTACATTTGCCAATGATAACCCTGAAGGTTGCAAATTTTTTGGCTATGTTATTAACTTTTTGTTACAAACAGACCCTCAAGTAGACCCACATTGGTCTGGAACAGTGTTACAAGGAACTTAAAAGAAAGAAGACAAGTTTTCAGTTTTAGTGTCTGAAATCACTGAACTACTATTTTTTGTCAATAGGTGATACATACTAATGAAGTAAAACTTTCTCTCCCGGGTGTTTGAATCTTGGAAACTTTTCTAAAGTAAATAATTTATTTTTATTAAAATTTATCAGGTACAGAATTTAGACTTGGCCCCAGCCCTTTCAGGGTATTACCCAATAACTCAGCCTTGGGTGTGGCTACAGCAAATATTGCAGGTATGGAGAGGTAGCATGATAGTTACATAATGTAATTAGTCAGTGTGGAAAGAGCACATTATCAGGAGGTACACATGTAAAGCTGAAAATGCTGTGCCCAATTTTTCCATGTATTTTGAATACTGTGTAGCTTCATAAACATTTCTTTTACCCACCATGACTGCATTGATATCAAATGTTGCTTTTCTCTTGTGTTTAAAAGCTCCAACATTTGGCCTCAACACTCTTCAGACAAATACAACAGGGTTGGCAGGATCTTTAGGAGCTACAGGAACATCTTCCCTAGGTAACCCATTTGGTACTGCACCAGGACTTAGTGGTGCAAATCTAACAGGGGCCAGCACATTTGGGTCATCCCTTGGCACTAGTACTTTAGGGACCACTGGACTTGGGGCCTCTACTGGTCTCACTGGGGGATTTGGCACCCCATCTCTAGGGACCCCCTCAGGAGGGGCTTTTGGCTCCCCTGGGACAGGCCTTGGGGGCAGCACATTTGGTGCCGGAACATCAGCATTTAGTGCACAACCTAAGTTTCAACTTCAGAGGCCACCAGCTGGGAATAAAAGAGGGAAAAGAAGATGAAAGAATGGCTATGACCAACATGGAGTGAGAACAACTAGCACCTGAGCTGTAGAGCTTACATTCAATGACCATTGCTTATTTCTAAGATTTTTTTTTTAGTTTTCAAATACTAAAATAAAAACAAGAGCGTGTGTGTCACAAAACGGTTATTTCTCGTCTCTTACTGATAACTTATATGTACAAATACGCAAATGTACGTGTGAAAATGTATTTTCATTCCAGTGCATCAGATTCTTGTAGTTGTTATCACTGAAGACTGCTTACGTCTTTTAGCTAGTTGGCATTAGAACGTTAATTTATAATTTTTTGCAGATATATCAAATTTCTCTAATCAAACATTCTCTTTTTTCTCTACTTTCCTGACTGCGTTTTCTTTCACTGTTACACTTTTCGCGCTTCCCCAAAATAAAAAGGTTCCTGTTTACTAGTTGCTTGTTGCTGTCACACGGTCTCTATGGACGCCTCATTCAATGTTCATTTACTTCAATGTAAAACACGGGACATTTGAAAGAGGTATGGGAGTTAGTTTTTAGACAAGCCTTCTTTAAATTGAAACACCATCTAGCCCGAGAGTATAACATTTTTTAAGGTAGAATGATAAGCATAGCAATTATATAGTATTACTTTAGCTTGTGTTTTCACTATAGGGGTTTTTTGTCAGGCGGAAACGGGTCTTGTAAGAGAGAGGGAGGGCTTTGCTAGGTGATTATGTTGTAATTGTTTGTGATTCACCACAGAAATATTGAATTTTCCTTACCCTACTGGACAGACGCGATTTACATGTTTTCAGTCAAGCTGATGCAAGCGCGAGGCGAGCGTGAAAAGAGCATGAGCGAGAGAAGAAGCGAGATAAAAGACGATAGGCGGCAATTTGTTGCGTTTTTTAGACCAGCTCAGTTAAATGCGAGGCGAGTGTGAGGAAGTGCGCAAAACAGGAAAGAGCGCGACAAAACTAACGACGGGCGTCATTTTTTTCCACGCTCCTCCACCTGCGCTTCCCGCTCCCTTCGCCTCTTACGCTTGCCAAACAAACGTAATAAAAAATGACACCAGTTAGATATGTTTTGGTTATTCATTTGCTCGTTTATTCATTTCTTTTGGCCACTTCTTTATTATTGTTTTCAGACGAATCGATACCCACATTAAAACATTCTTGAACACTATGAGAGCTCTCTAAGCCTTGGTGCAGAAGATCTGGCCTGGGTGCGAGCTTTACGTAGAACTCAGTAGGGGTAGGGTGGGAGGGTTCCTAAAAACTTGGAGTTGAGGCTCAGCCATGTGGACGAGCGCCATCTTTTGTTTTTAGAAATAATTCTGGAGAGCTAAGCCATGAAGCCTTCTTTGTTCGATTGCCTTTTCGTTGTTATGTATGCATCAGTTTCTGTTTTGGCAAACGAGGAGTCAATTAGCAACACTACAGAGAGATCAGCAAACGATAAATCATCGGACAAAGAAGACGCGCAAATCTCAATTTGTATCCTTTTAACACAGCGGTAACTTTTAATCAGAATCAAGCCTAAAATATTAAAGTCGCATTTGCGAGTTTCCTTGACTCAAGCTTTTCAGATCGTGCGATTTTTAAGCAAAAACGCGTAGAGCAAACTCTCGCTGCAGAGAGTATACTAAAACTTAATGACTACTCCAAACAATATAAAATGGTTGAAATTGTTCTTGAAAAATTGTTTACGGTGAGTGGATGGTCTCCTTTATTGCAACTGAGGTTGAATGGACTATATCATTCGCTAACACTTTTAGAGTTAAATAAGTGTTGGTTTGAGACCTTGTTCGTTGAAATGCAATTCCATTTGAAGGCGTGAGACGATGCAGTGTTCAAGGGATTAAGCTATAATTTTATTAGTAAAGTGGCTATATTTACCCATATTTACACGTTTGATTCCCGTCAAAAGGGAGAGCACCAAGCGTCTAGGGACGCTTTCACTCTTAACCCTTTAACTCCCAAGATCTGATTGATAATTCTCTCCTCTAGCTGCTATACATTTCCTTGTAAATTGGTTATGAGAATTTGATGTTTAATAAAGATAATATCTTGTACCTGATAAGTTTGAGTATTCTCACTAGCTGTCTGGTGGATAATGTTTGCATACAATAGAGAGAAGTCAATTGTTAATCACTTTTGGTAGTCAAAGGGTTAAGATCTCATTACATAATTCTCCTTACTGTCTGCCATACAATTCTTATGATGATGGTGCAGAGAATTTACAACTGAATCAACTAATAATCCCCTGATTGATTTTTTTTATTCTAATCACTTTTTGCCTGATATTGTAGTGATATTGTAAGAAGCAATTCTGTCCCGGTCCCTTGTGGGATTTAATTAAAAGGGTTTACATGCATTGTCTTGTTTAACTTTTCAGACTCGATATTAACTTTCCTGTTATTTTTAAAATTCTTTTCATGTTATTTGTAGAAACTTTCAATGGATTATGTGATTATATCTCTGACTCTTTTAAATCTATGGTCAAGATTTCAATCTCTTCTGTCATTACTATTATTAATCAGTATTGTTGCTTCTTAAAATACATTTTATTTCAGGAACATGACTTCTGTTATATTTTATTACTGGTGTAAAATAATTAATGGAATTTATTCCAACTTTTATATCAAACAGTAAAATATTTCATCCTCTGCTTCACAGGTATTACAAGATGCAAAGGTGAAAGTAACAGCATCAAGTTACATACCTGGACAAGCATTTCCTACAGAAAAATCAGAGTTAGAAGGTATTTAAAATCCTTTGATGTTCACTTATTTTAGATTTCACTGCACTGCCAGAACAATGAACAATGTAGTGATTTCTACTGGTTCTTACACAGAGGTAAATGGTTGTAACCCTGATAGAAAGGGCTTTTGATTAGTAGACATCTATAAACACAAAAATGGGGTTAGAGTCTTAGTGAAAGAGTAGAACTGAAAGAGAACTGAGAGACAAAGCTTTTCCAAAGTATATTGCTTTCTCCTTTTCTCTCACTTTTGCTGCTCCACAAAAATGCATCTCTTATTTATTACTATTTCCAGCTTTAGCAAATGTTCTGGAGAATACTGCCCTGTTTGGAGATATTCTTCTGCGACTACCTGATATAACATACAAGGTAAGATCATACCATCAACACAGTGTTGAGGGTAGAAAAAGGTTTATACGTGACACATGATTGAGTTCAACAGAGTTGAGTTTACACATGAATTTCACAGAAAGACAAGGTTAAATGAGATTTGAAGTTTTTCCTTTGAAATTTGTGGTGTGTGAAATACTGATTAAAGTACACAAGATGCACAAAGTTTTCTAAAAACAGAATCAGCACACCCCCTTTGCCTCTCTTGCTGTAGAAGTGTGCCTCTGCAGCTCAAAGAAAGGCATTTTGGGGGTAATTTAAATGGCTGAGTACAAGTTCTCAGTATATCTTCCCAGAATTAATGTCTATTTAAGATGTGTTTTTATTTGTTCATACTATTTCACATACCCAGAGTTGAGGGTGAAAAAAAGAGTGATCCAAATATGCTTTGTTCCATGATTGTATTTCCTTAAGGTGTACACTAAATCCAGAGAATGGGAACTTCTGGCCAGATGGAGTCTAAGCTTTTGCAATGAAACACACATTTATGATGAAACAGACTCCAAGTTATTACATTTGGTGAGTTATATTTTAAAGATGTGGCATGTTACGAAGTGGTGCATCCTGTGCAACAAAATTCAAAGTCTTATTCTACCAAGTGATGAGTTTGTTTCTTGTTTTTGATGGTAGATGGCACAAGAGTTAAGACTTGTACCAAGAGATCCAAACTACATCAATCCATATAGGCATGTTGGACACAAAGAGGTATTGCAATTTCATTTTAGGTTCTTTTTTTTATATTTGAATTAGACAAGGCATGGAAAAAATGATGTAACATGACGAATATAAGAGATCCTCACAGCTATGAACACTACTGAACTAGTAGTTGAAATAAGACCTGAAAAAAATTCAGGCCTGTATGGGATTTGAACCCATGACCTTTGCAATACTGTTGCAGCGTTCTACCAACTGAGCTAACAAGCCAACTGCCTGAATTTTTTTTTTCAGGTCTTATTTCAACTACTAGTTCAGTAGTGTTCATAGCTGCGAGGATCTCTTACATTCGTTTCTTCACTGCTGTGCACATGTATGATTTTCATATATCTTCAATCATTATTTCATCACTTGGATGGGTTATTTGGATCCAACATAATGACCAGCTCCCAGTTGGCTTGTTAGCTCAGTTGGTAGAGTGCTGCACCGGTACCGCAGAGGTCATGGGTTCAAATACAGTATGGGCCTGAATTTTTTTCAGGTCTCATTTCAACTACTAGTTCAGTAGTGTTCATAGCTGCAAAGATCTCTTAAATTCGTTTCTTCACCACAGTGCACATATATGATTGTCATATATCTACAATCATGATGTAACATGTTTTCATTAAATTTCAGGGTTTGAAAGATGGTCAGAGTAAAGAGAAGACTTCTAACAAAAAGAAAAAAGAGAAAAAGAAAAGAAGAGGTCCAAGATTAAGCCATGCAGAATTGTAGGACTTATTGTTATTACTACTATTATTGAAATAAAAACTTTTGTAATTAGTTACTCAGTTGATTGTTGTGTTAAAAGAATACTAGTTTGGTGCATAACTGATACCATTGGTTTTGGAATGGCCTAGGCTTAATTAAATTTGTGCTTCTGGTCAATGGTAGGAACCATGCTAATCAATAACTAATTTTATTTAATTTATACTATTACACCATTGTACTGTGTAAGGGAAACAGCATTACACTGTAAAACAGCAAAAATGCAGATGAAAAAACACAGACGGAAAGGAGAGTCACCAAATGGCCACACCAACAAACGATCCTAACTTTAATTTGTTTTAATCCTTTCGGCTTCACTTTTTGAATGACAAACATTTAAGTGAAACTGATCTCTTTTGTTCCTCATGAAGGACACTTACTGGTAATAAATGGTTTTGTGGAAGAATGAATCCCTTAACTGATGGTTTAACATTTAATACATACAGATATTTTACTCATTGCCCATATTTTTCAAGTTCTGTCTGCAACTCATGGGCATGCTCTATGTTACACCATCAAATAAGGTGTATGTAACAAGAGATAAGAACAAAATAAATCAAATGTAATAACTAAAAAGATAAATGTGAAATAAGACACAAAGACAGACAACAGCTTTGGGAGTTTCTGCTAGAGCTTTACAAAAGGTCAGCCCCTTACTTGTTTGATGTTTGCTAAAATTGTGTTTTTAGACCAATTTAAGGGAGTTTATGATTAGTAGTGAAGTCAAGTTTTACTCCAGAGAACGCCTTACATTATTTTGCTACATTTATCAGTGCCACTCTTTTCCGTAACAATGTTCATTTAATGGAAAGTTCTTTTCAGAATACCAATTTACATTTATTTATTAACAATAAAATTTGACAACAGGAAAGCATTCAGTCTTGACCATTCAGTGATGTAATGTCTTCTTCACTAAGCACATCTGCTATGAACACAACAGCTCAACTTTCAAGAATTTTGTGTGGATTGAAGAAGACTTGAAGCTTGTTTGGAAGAAGTGTTATTGTTATTGCTCTTGCTTCAAATGGCTCACCATCAATTGAAAACCATGACAACTACGAAGAATGAAGGAAATATTAGATAGCTCATGTTAGCCAAAAGAGTTGCCCAGTCAATGGATTATTTCACAGACAAGTGGTCAACACCATCTGAAAGTGAAACTATGTGTACCTTTTCATCCTTTGGCTCCAGTTTTAGCTGTTTTAACTTCAGGGATTTGCATCCTGAAATAAAAAATTTTAGTATAAGAAGTAACCTAACAATATTTATTATAAAAACTGAAGTGTTTTACAAGGATTTCCAGCCTGATAGAAACCGTAACAGCACACGTGAAAAATTACGATATTTTTTTCATGTGTTTGATATCACCAATCAGCTGCTGACACATCACTTGCCTTTCCTGCCACTCATGAGATATCGAGTTTTAGACTCGAAGAGAAATGCCATATCTAAGTGAAACCATTTATTTTATTCGTATTTAATACCTAATCATTTTCATCATTACATGGTAAATGTATCAATTACTGATAACTACACACAAACTATTACTTGGTGAGTCAGTCATCTGGAACTTGTGTTGTTTTTCTTCTTTCTCCATCTTCCACCTTTCAGATTGAAAGAAAAAAAATGTCCTGGTCAAGAGGCAATCTCTCAATCATCAATTTAATCAAATAATGTCTGATTTCGATACCCGGTAACTTATTAATTTTTTCACAGCAATTTCATATTGGATGTCTAGGAAATTCTAGGATGGTCGATTTAAATTCATTGAGTTCTTTATGTGATTTGTCTGAAAAACTTATGTCACTCTTTTCACCAATCAGATCCCAAGCTAAAACCAACTGAGACTTGGTTACACATTGAGCTCTTAACCCTTTAACTCCCAAGATCTGGATGTTAATTCTCCCCTCCATCAAGTACACTTTTCCTTGTAAATCAGTTAAAAGAGTTTGGTGTTCGATCAAGATAACAACTTCTACCCAATAAGTTTGAGCATTCTCATTACATGTTTTCTGGATAACATGGATATTATAGGGAGATATTACATGTTAATCACTTCTGGGAGTTATAAAGGGTTCAAAACATTAAAATTGTATTATATAACCTACCCACTCTGAATAAACTCAGTCTTACTGAGATCTGATGGCCAGACATCTACTCTGAGGAAACCATCAGTAGTCTGCAAAATTGACCCACAAATGAAAGTGTTAATATTATTATGGCTCACACAACTTAACAATACTAACAGACTTAGGTAATAGTTTGCATTTTCTTCTTGAGTATAATATCATCAAGGTATTCCAAAAATGTCTCCTACCAAGTAATCTTCTGTCCTGAATGGCTCCACAGACAAGCCAAATGTTTGGATGGGATTGGTAATCCATCCGTCACTGATGGCGTCGCAGCTTTTTTCATCATCAAGATACCTTTGTGGTGCCTGGTTGAGGCTCTCACAGTTGGTGGTTGCAAAACCATGGGGCATAACCCCTTGCTGTGAGTCTGACAAAACCTCTGTTGATGTTGTTGGGTATGATAGTATTGTATCAATGAAAGGGGGCCAGTCCTGCATGAAAAAAAGAAATTTAAAAAAAAAACATAAAATGAAATTCTCACCCTCAAATTCCTAAGTTTGGGGGGAGCAGTGATGGTGCAAGCCATCAGATCTTGGGACTTAAAGGGTTAAAGGAAATTAATTGTTACATCGAGAAAACACCCTTTTGTTTATAAGTTCATCTGACTATGTTCTCACCATATGTGCTGGAGAATTCCATTTTGAAATTTGCAGAAGTTACAAGTTAATCTCCTTTGTAAGTTACATGGTTAAGGCAAAAAAAATTACTCTCCTGTCTCAGTTAGAGGCAAATGTTAGAAAAATGGGGAGAAACATAGACTGAACGTACCTTCACAGCTGCCACAAGATAGGAAAGTTTTCTTCTGAATGGGCCCACAATCCAAAATCTTCCTCAAATAATTGAAAAGAGACTGATCACACATAAAAAACTGCTTTATAACACCTGTAATCTGGCCCTTTTTTTTGGGCAGGAGCATAATAGCATTGCTATTATTTCATGTCCTGCCCAAAGAACACCTGATCACAGATACCCATCCTTATCAAACAAGGGATGAAGTCAATTTTAGTTATTCATAAATGCTGTGAAAGACACCAACACTCAAGTTTACAATAACAGAAAAACATGCTCAAAAGAAACTGTAATTAATATCCTGAAACAACTCACTTATCTTCCTTTTCATTGGCATCTCTAAAAGCACCCCAATGGAGCTTGGACATAGCAAATGTGGAACGACCTTCATCACCCTTAACAGGAGCACAAACACAACAGTATTGTTATAATAATCACTTTTTGATGATGTCAACAAGAATATACTAAATTTTTATTGTAACTCAACCTTAATTTCCATGACATCTACTGGTTTAATGTATCCCTTAACAATTGCCAATGTTGCATTTCCAATCCTCCTGTAAAAAAAAATTGAACATTCAATGTTCAATATAAATAAATTATCTTGGTAAAAGCCTGTTCCAGGCAATCAGTTGGTAAAACAGAGCAAAATAGAAAACAGCACAATAAAAGTAGTGGAGTGAAAAAGTACAATAGGTTTGGCTCAGGTCCACTACACAACCAGACCAAAACCTCTGTTAAATTTTTGCTCCTCTGCTACTATTGCAATATTTATTATTAATAATTGTGCCTTGTTTACATTCTGGATGTCTGGAACAGGCTACCCTACCAAAAGTTAACAAGTATAGACACATGGTTTGTACCCTATTTCATAAACAAATTTCAAGGACTTTTCCAGGACTCAGATCAATTTTCTTCATGACTCCAAATTTCACCTTAATGTAAAAATCAAATTCCAGAATTTTCCTGGTTTTCCAGGACCTGTACAAACCCAGTAGACAAACTTATCACTCACATCATCACAACTTTGATTGAACATCAAATTCTCCTTGCTAAATTTAAAAAAAAACACAGTAGGTACCCAGAGAAAAGAGTTATGAATGGGATCTTATGAGTTTTCAAAGGTTTGAATGTTTCATGCTCAAATATAACTACCGGTAATATTATAACAAGCACAGGACAACAACAACAATAACTGCACACAAATTGGGTTTAACGGCTAACAGTTCCTTACCTAGCTTCTGTAGCATCTTTGTTTGCAAATATCCTGTTACAGAGAGAATTATGTGCTCCAAGAGGAATCACTCCGATAGGAATCTTGGAAATTTCTTCCTAGAAATAACACACCTATAAATAAGTACAAGTTCAAGTTTTACAAACATAAAAATTGAAATATCATGATTTATATTCCAATAAAGGGGTAAGTTTCTAAAGAAACTGTGGTGCTGCATCGGTGGGAGAGTATAGCAGGTAATTTAGTGTTAACAACTGGGTTGAATCGCTCTGACGAAGGGCTAACGCTCGAAACGTCAGCTTTTTTACCCTTTACGGTGGCTAATTTATATTCCAATGTTTGACAACAACCAACCTGATCACTTCTTCTGAGCAGTCCAGTCACAACCTTGAGAAATAAACAAGCAAGAAATTGTTGGACAGAAACAATTTTTCATTGAATGATGTATGTTACATTCTTATTAAAACCTCTTTTTCTAATAAATAAATCTTTCTCAAAAGTAACCTGTGATTAGGCATTCTTCTGCTTTTGTACAGTAGATTACATCTGCACTCAAGCAAAGTAGCCCATCCAAACCTGGACCTCTCGACTTGGAGTCCAGAACACCAACTGTTAGGTCACCTGGTCTCCCTGTGTCTTTGTACACTGGGTATCCAATATTTCATGTTGGTAGAATAAAAAAAGTATCAGCAAGTTGATTAGCTGACCTCAAGTAGTGTGCCATCTCCTCCAGCAACAATAATACCATCTGTTTTTGGATCAATGTACTGCATCAGGGTTTTAATTTGTCCTTCGTAATCTGTCTGAGAACAAAAACCATGAATAGTATAAAAATCGACCTCTTTCTTAAGGATCAGAATCTTATAATTGTACAAATGAATACACTTTGTTACTACTGCAGGTAAACAAATTCTCCTTGTCAGCATCTAAGAGAATGTGTAAGGAACAGTATGGAGAATATGCAAACTAATTTTTTTTTTTGTAAGGTGTAAGAGGTTAAAATGAGTGAGAAATCAATTACCTTGACAATGGTAACATCAAGCCCTGCTATATGAAGAATTGGTTCTGCATTTTTCTTCAACAAAGTCTCTGCACTACCACTAAAGGGAAACAATCATATTTTATTGGAATGTGTAGCATTAGAAGACAAAGCACATTGATATGTACAATCAACATATCTTTTCCAGACAGCTTGCATAAACTAATATGTTACATCATTATACTTTACAGGCAACAATTTAATTTTGATTTCTCATTTTGAAACATGTAAATCTAGTAGGAGAGGCAATTTCCTGAACATGAGACAAACAAATATTGAATTATGTAGACAATCTTGAATTTTTAAGAAATTCTATTGCTTGGAATGGCCTTTAAAATAGCAATACTCAAAATTTGGTGAGTAAAGATTAGTTCAATAAAGCTTTGAAAAGAGGAAAAGAAGCCAATCAAATTAGTATCTCCAAAGGAACTTGTACCAATTTGAACAAAGACATCGACAACTTTGTATTTATTTAAATCAATATTTCAATTGCATGTAAACTCAAATTTTATGTCCCAGTATTTTTCTTAACAATCTTTTAGCAAGCTTTTATCGCTAGTTAATATCATCATTGTAAAGGTCCATAACAATCTGGTGCTGCCTTTTTCAACATGACCCTTCCAAATAAATGATATAAGTATCTCTATGTATTTCTTATAGAAATGAAGCCTAGCACCTGTTACCCCATGCTACTTTATTGTGTACACTTAAGATGTGCAACAAAATACCTCCCTAGCCTGCAGAGCAGGGGTAATTTTGACAAGCCAGTGCTCAGTGTTTATTAAGCGAGGATTATGGCCACCATCTTTGATTTTAATGACAGTGAAAGGGGGTGTGCCCCTCCCCCACTGTTGACTCTGATTCAAAATCAAACATGGCTGATTGAATGAACAATTCCTCACTTCTTAATGTTAACTTGCATTAATAAGACACCTGCACTGCAGGCTAATACCTGCCAGATGCTGGATTGAAAACCAAGGTCAATCTTCTGGGTTTTCTTAATGATGGCAATGTTTTGTCACCAAAAGCCTGTTGAAAAAGAAGAAAACACAACAAGTTGATAACATTTTCCAGTGAATAGTTTTCTTGAAAATAATGACTTCCTGGTGAGAGGGTGATATAACTTGGATCCATGATAATTTGCTATCATAGTGCTACCCAACATGGGCAATTACTAAAAAGAAATATCTGAAAACCATTGATATACCCATTAAACAATTTTTACTGAGACTAAATGAATTTTGACAATTTATTTTGTTATTTTCCCACCCCTAAGATACAGAGAGCCTCTAAAGGGTTTGGAAAACCAATCAATGCTCTCCCATTTTCATCAACAAAAAAACTCTAAAGACATGATCAAACAATTTCTTACAATATTTAATGATTATTGAAAGTTGATTTTGTCATTATTCCACCCTGTGATACAGACAGTCTTAAGAGGGTCTGGAAAACCAATGTCCTCCAACTTTCATCAACAAACAAACTCTGAAGACATAACTTACTTTTGCTTCATGGCATAGTTCTCTTCTTATCATGTACTCTCTGCCAAAAAAAAATTTAAGTTTAAAAAATTAGCTCTCTTTCCTCTCCAAAAATAGTAATACTCAGGTGCTTGATCTTCATAGTTACTCTCAATACTCTCTTACAGCATTAACCTTTCACACCCTAACATCAGTATCCTTATTCTCCATACTGTCTTTACATTTCCTATGGTGTTCACAAGGATAATTTATTCAACAATCAAGAGCTTCTTCAGATGGTGATAATTTCCCTTATTCAAAAAAGATATCGTAAGGAGAAATACGACGCATATCATTCTAAAGGGCCCATTGTTTGTTGAATTTCAAACATGCCAAAGTCCAAGCAACAAAACAACAGTAAAATAACAAAGGACATAAAGAATCCTGCAAAATATCTGGAAAATCCTTCGTTTTTGCGTAGGCCAAGGATTTCACGATCTCCAATTAAATGATACATGTACAAAGAAATTGATTCTGTTCTATCTTAATTTTAAGCCGATAAAATCTTGCCTGTACTTATTAGCTCCGTAACTCATCAACCATCCTGCAAACAGGGCAGCAGCAATTGATTTCTTTCTGTGTTTTCGTATCGTGTAGAACCAGGGTTTTCCGTCCGCCATGATGAAAATCCTGCCTCTTCTCCAGGTCCTATCGACTGGGACGCACAACAGACTTCAAATATGTGTTCCATTGTGTCTACGAGGATCTTGCTTGCTCTGATTTTGTGACCTTTTTTAAATTAGAAAAAGAAGGTTCCTAAGAGAATAAGTGGAAAATGGTTTCTTAACACGAAAAGGATTTAAAATTTTCGGCATGTTGTAATTTGGAGATGTTTTAGAGAGCGAAAATGAATTTAACAAATGGAATTTTTGGGAGCGAGAGTTAGAAAAATTTATTTTAGTGGAAATCGTCGGCCTAGGCCTGATGAAACACTAGTTTCTTTTATCAGAATTTGAGTTTTAAAATAACATGAGAGGAATAATTAAGATTGTTTTTTTTTTCTTTACACATTCGTGGTTACACAGTATTTCCTTTTTTTCCTTGGAAAGCTTCCTAAACAAATTACGCCTATTTTTTCGTCCACTATGATTAATAGATATTATGACTCAAACATTTTCAGTTTTATCTTTATTACCTCTCTCTCTGCGAGATTGGTAGTTTTCTTTTTCTCTAGGGCGTTTTTAGGCTTTTGTCTTATTGTTCTTTTCCTTTTTTTAGCATTCGACCGGCAACATCAGGTATCATTTGTTCATCTACTGAACCCACTGGCTTTTTCAATTCCTTTGACCAAGCCGCTAACGGTTGGTAATCCTTTTAGATGAAATAACACCTTTGCGGTATATAACTCACAGCAAATTCTATCTATTTATTATTCTTTTCCTTTTTTTAGCATTCGATCGGCAACATCAGGTATCTTTTATTCATCTACTGAACCCACTGGCTTTTTCAATTCCTTTGACCAAGCCGCTAACGGTTGGTAATCCTTTTAGATGAAACAACACCTTTGCGGTATATAACTCACAGCAAATTCTATCGGAAACTTAATTACTGAAGCCTTCGAGAGCAAGAAGAATTTTTACTATTGCAAGTGTTTTTTGTGTCTGTGCATGCACTTTATACTTTAACCTGCAAAAATTTCCCACGTTAATTGTATAGAAAAAGTTCCAGGCATAGAATCTCCCCTAAAAACCCTTAGGGCTGGTTATTAAACAAAGTTTATCCATTGTCACGACACAAAACCGCGTCCTTAACAATCCTCGATTTTTGTGAACATTTTATCTGAATATTTATTTTTGCAAACAGCATGAAGAGGGTTGAGAGTGAAGAAATGTAAAATGGTTTCCGTGTTTACATAGCCTGATTTAAACACGCGGGAGGTTGGGAGAACACGAGATAAGCGTAGGAAACCACGACGCGAAGCGGAGTGGTTTCCAGCTTATTTCCAGCTTTTATAAAATAACTAATGAAAGAGCCTCTTCTTGCAACGAAGGAAAGCGAAGTGCTTGTTGTTGTTGTTCATTTGGCTTTTCGGCCGTTTCTTGAATACTGGGAAAATTAAACTCCAAAGAAAAATTAGGAAAATCTTCTTCTTCCATTACTGTACTCAAAACAAACTTAAAGAAACTGAGTTACTGCTAAATAAATAGCAGGGAGAACTCCGCGAGAAGATTCAGTATGAAAACCGTGTTTACATACGCTCATGTAAAAATGGTTTTATGGCCAATCAGAGCGCGCGTGCTATTTGAATTGTTTTATAATTAATAATGGAGGACACTTATTTAGTTGAAACCAACCTTCTTATAGAGACAGCCTAAAGCCAGAGGTTAGGTAAAACTGTGGTTTAGGTCAGAACTCGTGTGGCCCTTGGTTTCCAGTTTCCGTCACAAGTGTCCTTGTATCCTCCAGAACAGCTCCCCCCCCCCTCCCCCCTTTCCCTTACCTTAAACTTGGGCAAGAAAATGGTATACGTGCAGGTGTCATTTTTTCGCACGTGACTCGCCCTTCGGGCTTGACATGTCTGAAAAATAAATGGCTAAAAAAAAAATACACCTGTCAGGCGCATTATATCAATTTCGGCATCGCCTCAAAGAAACAAAAGTACTGAATAATTTTTCCTAAACAAACTTTTTCTTTATATTAAAAAAAAGAGGCAGTCGGCGCGGTGTTTCGGCAAATTTGAATTAGTGATCGATTCGCTAAAAAAGTATCGTTTATTTCAATTTTTTTCGTTTTATACTTTCAAGGTAAACTCGTTTATGAAAGCATCTTTTTGCAAACATGGTCAGATGATCTGAAAATAGCCGGAAGGAATAAAAAATCAAATGGCATTGCGTAACTTCCGTCGCTGACTTTTCATACTGTGAGCCGCAAATGGTGGCACGCTGCTGGACCTTATGTTCGGGTTTGAGCAACGGAACCGAGCACATAAGTAGCGAAGTAACGAGGGTAAATTGAGACTTCTCGCTCCTACGGCTTCGTCGCTTGGTTCCATTTTCCTTGAACGCTTGAGAAAAGAAAACAGACAGATATGCGTTGAGCTTCGAAAACGGCTGGAGACAGCTATGTTTTGTTATCTTCGAAGTTTTTCAGTGTGAAGTCCGATATGCCGACAAAGCATTCTTGTATTACCTTTTGTTTTACAAGCACGTCTAGCGAAAAGAACAGTGGCTGGTATTAATGAGGTACACGAAACAGAAAGAAGTATTTTCATGATATTTTAGCCCACCTTTTATTCACTGAATTTTCCTTTCCCTAAACCATAAACCCTTAAAGTGACCAGCATCTAATTTCTCGTTGCAGTAACACTGCTAAGAATGAAGGTGATAGACACCAGTCTTTGAAGCTTTGATTGATAAACAAATTCTCATAGGCAGTATCAAAGGAAATGTATAGAGAAGAGTATAGAGAATTTCGATACTGACTTTATAGTGTAAAGGGTTGAAAGGCTAAATAGAGGCGATTATTCGAAGTTAGTCACCGGAAAGAAGAAAAATTTTGACCTTGGCCTGGGAGGAAAAGAACTCTTTCTTTTCAACATCACATGCACTCTCCTTTCTGATTGTTCGAAATGATTCATGCTAGTTATTTAGAATTTTTGTGAATGTTACGGCTTAAATTACTTTTACAAAATATTCAGATGAATGAATAAAACACGAGCACACTTTTCTCAAAACTTAAACAACTAGGTTAGCAATGTCACTTGTGGTTTGCCCTGCGGCTGTGAACATACAGTGGTATAGACTATGCGTCAGTTTGAACAAAGTCACCCTTGTGTTTTGAATCGTTGTTTTAATAAAAGAGCTTCAGAAGAAAATACGGACACAAGTGAGAGAAATTTAAAATAATAGCCACTAATTATCTAAATGCGACATTGAGGGATCAAGGACGAATTCGCTAGAGAGGCGAATGATAGCTTGAACGACTGTTGTTCTCGAAATCTAGTCAACCTTTAATTTGCGACGATTCTCGAAGTTCTCGCTTACAATGCATTTTATTTCGGAACGTCTCGAACTCTCGTGTATCTTTCAAAGGCCTCAAAGCCTAGGGTTTGTTCCTATAGTCGAGGTTATTGGTCACTGATCTGAGGTAGCGATAGCAGCTGAAAGCTTCGTTCTGTGCGAGGAAGCCTATTCAAGATCTCTGTGTTGCTAATTGATATATCGCCAACGAATGCAAACGAAATAGACTGCTTCCCAGCTTTCACGCAACATTTTCTGCCATAAGTATTACACTGCACTAATTTAAGCAAAGTGATGGTAATAATATGGAGTCGTGAATCTAAAATTATTTGATCTCCTTAAGTGCATGGTCTCGGCGTCTCGCTGTTATGGCATATTATTATTCATCACCAGAAATAATTTGTTCACGTATCAGTTTTGAAAGAAACTTGTCTTATAAACGCTTCATAACTGAAATGGCATGCGTTGTACGGCTTTCCTTTTTCATAGTGACCATGAATTTGCCTGGAGAATTCGCACTAGCTGGGTTTTCGTAGACCTCGATCGCGAAGATAGAACCAGCTGAATGTATGCCGCTTATTAACCGATAGAGTTTCGTCCCCCACCCCCTGAAGTAAAAAATGGAAAAACTCACGTTGACCAATCTAACGTACAATACGGTCCCTTCCAACGAATATCTTAATTTTGAACGATAGCTAAAGCAGCGCCGTTAAAATTGAAAAGCAGTATTAAGCATTTATTTTTTAGTTTTCAAGTGTCATTTCGGTGGTGGTTTTGCGGCAGTTTGGAGTTTTTTAAGCAAAAAGATCTGTTGCTACGTAACTAGAATTCAATTCAATTCAACAGCGAAATGGAGATATCTTGAAAACAAAAGACATCCCAAACCCCCTTCAAAAAAGGAAAAAAATCACAAGAATAAAAGTGCTTTTCTGTTATTTGTCATGAACTGTGCCGCTCGAGATTTTCGTTTATAAAACAGGGCGTAACACATAGAGCTTTTTCTCGGACGCGACGATTTTTTTAATCGTTCGGTGAAGGTGTCGTATTCTTCTCAAATCTAGTTGCTACAACGCGAATTTCAAAGCATTTGCATAAACTGAGCTTGTTTGATAATGACCGACAGGGAAAAAAGAAGTTTTTGTTCTTCTTGGCCAATCACAGGCAGACACGCCCCTGAAAGGGCGGTGCCTTATCATGATGAACGTGAATATCAACACGAGCTAACTGTTGCGTAGGTTGAATGCCCAGTGACCTTAATCATCAAAATTGCCCGATATGAGAAGGCGTATGAAACGACTCTGTTGACAAAATCTACTCGTTCGCAAATAGTGTAAAACGTGAAAAAGTTTATCAGCCACTCCCTAGGGGACGTGACAAGTCCCCACCCCCACCCCACCCTTGGGAAGTGCGGTTTATTGGCTTTGCTCGGGTGTGGTCGAGTCGCGTTTAGCTACCAGAAACATGGCGTCGAGTGAAGAAGGTTCAACGCATACACGGACAATACAGAAGCGAGCGAAGAAAACGCAAGATCAGGCCTGTCAGTTCGATGCATCTCTGTTAGAAGGTGAAAGAAGTTGTGAAATTTTCCTCGCGTTCACGCACTCGCTGTTGCTTGGATGGAATACAATGGCTTTGTGATGTGACGAGTGTTACACTAAAGTAAAATATTTTCTGCTTTTCATTTTTTTTAGAAGAAAGGGGGACCTGTGAGGCTTGCAACCAAATTTCAGGGTAAGGGATGTTAAAATTGATATAATTTCTTTCGTAAATGAGTCAGGAAAGCTAAGTGCGAGCTACTGAGCTTTCAAATACGTTCTCTGCCCCCGCGACGCGATCGATGCCGGTGAATTTGTCGGTGCACGCACTAAAAGACTTTCCAGCGGTTTGAAAAGTCTTAGTATTTTTTTTCTTCGAGCGGTTTTCTCGCTTGATTTCCTTCTCAATCAATTTAGTGAGCTCACTGCGTATTGCGATATCTCTGATTTCTTCCGAGAATTTAGCCTGCGATACGAAAGGCCACGTTTTATTGCCGAAGTTTGCGGATATTTCTCAAACAGGAAACGCAGAATCCTTGAAATTCCTAGGGAATTTGGATTAGTTTATGGGCATCCCAACTTGTCTATTGCGATTTATCCTGATTTCCAAGTTTGAATATAACCTAGTAGAAGAGAGTAATGAAATCCTATTTTCCATAGGCTCTATAACTTAATTCGAATTGTGTAAACTTGATAAGTGTACATCGATCGATATTAGAACTTCCCGTATACCAGTGAGCATAATTTTCTTGAGCGGAATATTTGGTCCTGTTACGACATCGAAGACGAAAATCACTGTTATATCATTCGTCGTTTTGGTTCATAATTTCTATGCACAACCCGAACGATTGATGGGTTAAATCTTAATTAATCACAACAGAAAACGTGAATTCGTATATGTTCAAACTTCAATGTTTATAAAGTGACTCGCAGACCTAGCGTTTAGTATTTCCTGTCAAGAGCAGGAATTTTGCGTCTTATTTTCGCTTAAGAGAAGAAAAATAACATGCGCTCCCGAGAATGTAATATTCGCTGGTTACTCCTGATTTTATTTTTTTCCTGTCTGCTATAAAACTAAATCGTAAATTTGTTTTGTTTTGTTCTTCTTCCCGGTTTGGAAGGCTTGGTGTAATTGATGTCCGAACTAGAATGGTTTCTCCATAAGTAGCTTGTCTAAACATATTCCTGATGTTTCGTTGCAAATGATATGATTTGTATATCTTACCCGTATGAAAATATGAATTCTATGTCCTTAAAGTAAGAAAAAGAAAATTGTTGGAAAACGTTAATAAGGGTTTCCTTTTAAAACTTGTCATTCGTAAAGTTTTAAGAGTAAAGTTGAACGAAAAAATATTTAGAGTTTACTTCGGTTATTTATACAAAGTAATATTTTGGATTGAAGATATTGTACGAGGATCAAACTTAGTTTTTTTTTTATTGAATATTTATTTTGTGGTGTCCAAGCTGGTTGATTTGCCTTTAAGTAAAAGATTCCAAATAGTAGTCTCGATGAATCTTAATGCTGCATTTGAATTTTCTGTAATTTTCACTAAAAGCCGATCAGTGATTTTGATTGCTCTTTGGTACTACCCCACCCAACAATCTGTGTATTATTAGCTCCACCCTTTAAAACTCGGATTAAATGACACATTTTTCATCTGAAAATGGAACAAGCCAAGAGATTCTAAGACATAGCCACAAAATTTTGCAGGCTGTTTTTGTAGGCTGGCTGAGATTTGTTTTTAGACATTTCAAGCAGCATTATTTGATTAACTTTAAGCACAGCTTTCATGATATGCTTCTGAATTTTTTGCAATTTTGTGGTCTTAAATGGAAGGCAATTAGTGCCTTGTCTTCAGTTCCAATGTCATGCATTTTCATGTATGATAAACCGCCAACAGCTGTTGTGTTTCATGAAAACACAGTAGTTCTTCAAGATTTATGGACTCGAGTTTTGTATATGCTCAGTTTAATTTCCTTTTTCCTGGAGGTGGCCTACTTCTAAGAAAGGCATTTCCCGCTATTTTCACAGCTAAGCCATTATTAAGTTGTCTGTGTCTCCTTGAGGTCAAGTTATGAGTTCTCTTGACTCTTTGGTGCTTTTGAGAATATAGTGCTGGATGTGATCCTTGGTAGTGTTTCCTAAGAGTTAACCCTTAAACTCCCATGAGTGACCAAGAAAGAATTTCTCCTTACAGCATCAATACAATATCAACCAGATAAGTGATGAGAACAAATAAAAATATCAATTTGGGGATAGTTAGTAGACCAATACTAAATTCTCTGAACTAAAATAAGAATTGTGTGGTTGACAGTAGGGAGAATTACAAATTTGATCTGGGAGTTAAGGGGGTCAAGCAAAGTATATCCTCTCAAGTAAAGCAGTGATCCTTGCAGATGAGCAGTAATTGCAGAAAAGAAGCCTGTTTGAATTAAATTTTCCTTGAACCTTGCTGTGTTTTGAAACTTCCATGAAAGTGGTAACCTATTTCCAGTGCAGGATTTATATAAAATTACAGCTGTTGCACCCCCAATTAGTTTTGTGCAATTCTACCAGAGAATCAAAGGGCTGGATATTAACATTGTTCATTATCTAGCAGAGTCTTCATCTTTTATCATTCTGTACTGTTGAAAGTTAAGCCCACTTTCAATACTTTAAGATTCAGCATTAAACAAAGATGTGTAGATTCTCTATCCTTTCCTCTATACATATCCTAAGGTGCTGATAAGGAGAATTTGTTTAATAATCAAGAGCTTTTTTAAATGGTGATCATTTCCCTTATACTCCTGACCTTAATGTGTGATTCAGGGGTGATATCAGAGGGAGAAATTATATGCTCGTCACTCTTAGGAGCCAAGGGGTTAAGTTTACTGCCTATAGGTTGATACCTATATGTACTGTTTATTTCTCTGACTCCCATATACCTGACTTAACTCTTTCACTCCCAAGATCTGGTTGTCAATTCTCCTCTCTAGCTGTTACACATTTTCATGTAAACTAGTCAGAGAATTTGGTGTTAGATCAAGATAACTTCAACCTGATAAGTATTCTTATTACCTGTTTGCAAGATAATGTATGGATTCTATGGGGAGAAGTTGCATGTTAATCACTTCTGGGAGTTAAAGGGTTACCTCAAGGGTTGGGGTGGTTGTGAAAAAAATGCTGATTAATAGTAACAGTCTTTTTTTTTTTTTTTTTTCGTAGCTCTGCCAATTGTCTTTCTCAACCTCATGTTATCCAGGTAAGTGCACATTTCCCTGTTTCCTTGTTATTGTAGCATGCATTTTATGAAATGCCCCTGATTTTAGACTGAATGCTTCTTTTTCAAACATGGGACATGGAACATATTAAATTTTCCTTTCAGTTCCAACTACACTCTCCTATCCTTTCAATTCTAAATTTGTGCTGGTATAAAAAGCTACAGGGATAAAATCACAATTATTTTTCTTTCAATAGCTTGACCCAGAGGGACACATAGAAAGAACTACAGTTATTCGAGTTGTTACTACAGATGATGATGAATATAAGGTATGCAACTTTGCACTTGGATGTAAAGCTCTGATCTCATGTGAAGTTTTACAATGAGCCCTCCTGCGATGACCACTCTATGAATAGTAAAAACTTGTGTATAGGCCACATCTTTTTGCTGGATTGGGCTTAAAATTGTGGCTGAGACCTACATACACAAGCAGTTGGGTCACAAATAGTACCAAGAAGTGTCTTAGACTGATCACTTCCACACTGATCTCTTCACACTAGTCAGGGGAACTCACAAAGCAAATGGTCCTTCACTATGTGCACAATGTTTTGGTACATGTGGGTTATTAAATCTTGTTTAGCATTAAGTTTTTCTCCAATCAATTGCTTCCATACATCCTTATATACAATATATATATTTATATTTAGGAAGTCTGTTTATTGATTTTTCTGTTTAACAATGCTCAATACGTAGAAGTAGAGCATGATATATTTTGCGATAGCGGAAAAAAATTAGAGAGACTATACTTTCGTCCCTACAAGCCTATTTCGTGATTGCTCACTCATCAGGGGATTTTATTTTATTTTATGATTTAAAATCCCCTGATGAGTTAGCGATCACGAAACAGGCTAGTAGGGATGAAAGTATAGTCTCTCTGTTTTTTTCCCCTTTTGCAACATATATATTTATATTTATATAGTGTAAAATTTTGACTTTTGCAAAATAGTGCTCAATACATAGGAGAAGAGCAATGTATATATTAACCTGATGAGTGGGCAACAACGAAACATACCTGTAGGGATGAACTTGTAATTTATTTGTCTTTTTCCTCCCACAATATATTTATATTTATATACATCTGCACACAGCTGATGGGAAAGTATACCTTTCGTTGTTGTTCATTGATCACATTGAAACTATGTAAATCAGCCCAGACTACCCTTTGTAAATGACTGCGTACAGTGTAGTTACCAAGCAAATGTTTTGTAACATTCTCCTGTGCTTTATTTTTGTTCAAATTTCATCATTTTCATTTTAACTGTGTGCTTTAATTATGAAGACAACTGTTGTCAGTCACAAGAATTAAGAAAATAAATTAGAGATAAGCTTTTAAGAAATAATTCAAGAGTTGACAATTTTTTAAGGTCTCTGCAAATGCACAGTATTAGATTTCAGAAAATTTGTCACAAAAACCTGTGAACAAACAAACAACTTTTTTTTACCAGATTTCGTTTTTCAAGTTTTTTCTCAAAATCATGCTTGAAATTTCTGTTTCGTGTTTCTGATAAGTGATAATTGGTACAATTGTACAAATGGTTACTTTATTCCGATGTTACAAAGATCTATTTTTTAAATAGTTTGAATTCTCAAGATGCATTAATATTGATTACAAGGAGCTTCAATTACATGTACAATTTGCTGGGTATCAGATTTTTGAATGAATTCATTGCAGCTTACTCTTAATAATAGGTTACAGAAGCTTCTCCAGGAAGATATGGAGGAAGATGTAATGGCACAGATAACACGCCAACAGTCATTGTGTCTCCTGGGGATCATCTAAAAGAATATCTGATAGAAGATGATAATTATGAAGACAGAACACACTCTCCTCCTGCAGTTCTTTTTGATGAGTGAGTCTGCATTTTCTTATGATGTTGTTGTTGTTGTTGTTTTTACTTTTGGTTGTAACAGTGTTGTAAAGGAAATAAAATCCTACCTAGCTTGGGTTGAAGAGCACTGACTGCTGTGCAGAAGGTTGAGTGGTCAGAAGGTTGGGTGGTCAAGCCCCAGACTGAACCAACAGGGTCTTAACCCTTTAAACCCTAAGAGTGATTAGCAACTAATTTCTCCTTACAATATCACCCCTAAAACAAACATTGAGGTCATGAGAATAGAGGAAATGATCATCAACTAAAGAAGCTCTTGATTGTTAAACAAATTCTCCTTTTCAGTATCATAGAAAATGTATAGAGAACAGTATGGAGAAATTGTATATTGATGTAAGGGTGTAAAGGGTTAAAATAACTGTGGAGATTTTGCTGCTTTTGCTTTGTCATCTGCAAATGGTTAGACCTTCAAATCTTCTCAGATAATAATGATAAATCCTAGTCCTCTTTGCTGCATCTTCTCTGTACTGGTTAACAGGGGAGACAAAGAATAGGGTAAAAAGCTCTTTTTATCGTGAATAAAGGGGGTTAGTTTCTAAAGAAACTGTGGTGCTGCATTGGTAGGAGAGTATAACAAGGTAGTTTACATAGTTTTATCAACTCCTTGTGTTGTGGTGTGACCTTATTTCCAAAAATTCTAAAATTTGGGGTGCTTGCATAATTTCCTTTCAAAAGTTGTAAACCCCTCAATGCAGTCTGGTCAAAATCCCCAACAAAGTTTTTTCAAGTGCATATTTATATGGAATAAATAAATGCATCTTCTTAATCAACATTTTTAAAATTCCCTTCATCCAGGACTGAACCAAACATAAGCAATGTGAAGGAGACTCGCAAAGCTGAGTAAGTACAAAATGAAAGCTTCTCTATTACTCTTTTGCATCTTTGCCTCTTTGCCTCTTGTGTTCCAACTGATTTTTAAATTGACCAATTCTTTGTCATTTTAAAGTAAAACAGATCATATGAAAAGAAGGAGAATCCACAAATGCGATTATGAAGGTTGCTCCAAAGTTTACACTAAAAGCTCACATCTCAAGGCTCACAGGCGAACCCACACTGGAGAGAAACCCTACAAATGTTCCTGGGAAGGCTGCGCATGGCGCTTTGCTCGCTCAGATGAACTTACAAGACACTACAGAAAACATACTGGTGCAAAGCCATTCAAATGTTCACACTGTGACAGGTGCTTTTCAAGATCAGATCACTTGTCACTTCACATGAAGCGCCACTGAATTAGTGTGCAAAAAGAGTCTGTGGGGTATGACATTTAAGGAGCAAACACTATTGGAAAGCCAGCCTATTTTGTAGAAGATAGCTTGTTCTTCCTGGAGTCATTTGGAAGAAGGATGCAGTTGATACCTCCAATATTTAGTTGAACTTTTGTCATTGTGTACAGCTGGCAACTCATGTCAAATTTGTAAATAGAGAATTGTTTCCTCAGTGATACTAAGTGCTTCCTCCAGATATGGAACCCTGTGACACTAATAGGATGGTGACAAAGCTCAAGCAATGATGGATTTCTGCTTTTAGTTGCGTAAACCTGCAAGTCATCCTTGTATGGCTGTGTTATTCTCACCATAAATTGGCAATAATGCTGGCAAATTCAGGGTCATCCTACAACAAACTTATTTGGTGGCATATTGTGTGACTTTGGTCTGCTTTGTCAAACCATTGAAGAATTTGGTCAGTTCCCTACACCCATCAAGAAAGCAAGCTGAATGTCATCTTTAGCTAGATGGATTGATGGAGAGCTCATTGTTACTGCACTTCAATATGCTTTCACAAAGATCTTCAAAAGTCATATGCATTTCTCCACTGTTTGTCTCAGAGCTAAAAGGGGCATTCTTTCCTGCAAAGAAATCTTTGGAATCTATGTTGTTTACATAGGTAATTACAATCAATTTGTTTTTTTATGATCAATCCTAGATACTAAAATAACCTTAAGTATTACTACCAATTAATTCTATTTAGTGGAAACAATACCACCATGGAAAAATTATGTAGAAAACATCTTGTCACAATGATAACTTGAAGATAACATAGTCCACATGAAGTTGGCAAAATGTACATAGTAATTATTATGAAATCTTAAATTATAAGTTTAGTTATCACTGTAACTATTTTTTGTGTTAGGTTTAAGTCCACGTTGAATTGATATTTTTTTCAACCAATTTTAGATTTAAACTTTTCTTTACAAAAAGTTTTTTCTTCAAGATTTTTTTGAGGTACTCTCACAAAGATCAGTGGACAGTGCTGTCTCAGTTATAGAATAATTTAAAGAATGTGTGTTTTTATATTACTCATTCATACACCATCCGGTTAGAGGTAGTACTGTGTGGCATGAAAATTTTGAGGGTTTTAATTTCAATGATTTTGCAAATAGTCTTCTCTTTTCAAAAGAAAAATTTCTCCAAAAGAAAATCTTGTAGAATATAACCACACAAACCTTTTCAGCATTCAGTCAATTTAAGACTCTTTAAAAAAACTCCACACAAATCAATCGTCATCAATATCCATTCATAGTATGTGGCCAGGTCCAATCACAATACCCATCTTAAAAACCATTTGAAGCAATTTCTTTTTGGCAAATATTACATTCCTTCCTTGCTATTGTATTGGAGTTTGAGGTTAAAATCACAAAGTTAGCTTCCTGCAGAAATGATAGTCATTTCAAATAAAAGGGATGTAATTTTGTTCCTTTGGTAGTTAATATTTTCCCACTATCTCCTATATGCAAAATACATTCCAGCAAAGTTTTCACACGACAAGGGAGTTGACTGGAAAGGTTTGCATGTTTCTTTTGAGGGAGGTGATGAACAGGAATAATCATACATACATACATGTACACAATTTAGCAGTGATCTGTAAAGAAGGTCGAAACCTGGAAAAACTTCTGGACTTATCATCTTTCATTAGTTGTTAGTTTGAGAAGTAACTTTGCATTAGTTTGCTTAAGGTAAAGACAGGAGGGGTTACTGTTACTGTTAACTTCTTCCTTTCTGTGTGTGGCTGGCAATGGTAGCTTAGAGTGTACTAATGATTCAGTGGTTAAGTAATTTAGTCAGTGCAGGTTAAGGAAGGAGTTCTGCTCTTAAAGAAATGAGATTTCCTTCATTCCTTGCATTTTGAGGTTGAAGCACATTTTTATCTAAACTGCAATAACTTCACTGTGGCTGGATTATTATGTGCAAACAGGCTGAAGGGCTTCCACAAGAACAGGTGTAAACCCTTCATTTATCAACGTGATTGTACTTCAAAAGTACTTGAAAATAGGAAAGTGAATGCAACAATGTCAAGTCATTCTGAGCTCAAATGGAATGCATAACTTTCAATATGGCTATATGATTAACAAAGAATTCTCGGTGGTGTGTTCATTGCTCTTGTAGTGTGTAGTTTTGGAAGATGAACAATCTTAATTTACTTACTTTTTTTAGGAAATTCTCTTTTGACCTTCCCAGGGCAATTTTCAATTGATGTTAACATTGACTGAATTACTCTTGTTTCACAATCCTTTGGTAGGGGACTGGTCTAGAAAACTCATGCCACCTTCTCAACCAATCAGGTTGAATGCTAGAGCCTCCTAGAAATTGGTCACTCGTGTTTTTGCGCAATGAGGACTCTTTTGTTCTTTTTCCTTTGCATTCTCACTGGCTGGTTGTCTTGTCATATTTCGATTGCTCTGATTGGCTGTTTTGATTTGGTTTGGGTACTTTGGTTTTTTGTTTATTACATTCCATCAAAATGTTAACTTTGGTGAAATCTATTTTTAAGAGCAGTAAATAACAGCGAATTTTTATTGTCAAGACACGTTGAGAAATATCACTGCTTCAAGCATTTCCTCAAATGTTATCATTCCTTTAGCATTCCTGTTTTATATTTGATTAAACTTATTATGTAGGCCTTATAATTGAAACAAAAAAAATTATCCCTGCTTTACCATATTAACCCTGGCACTCTGAAGATTTAATCATCAGCTATCCATCTTGTCTGCCATGCATTTCTTATATTTGAGCTTTGAGATTTTGCTCTTAATTTGTACAAGATCTCTTAGAAGGTGATTTTGTACTTTCTTCTCAATGTCTTTCTGCTTGAGAATGTATTGATATTGTGAGGAGAAATTCATTATTGAGCTTTAGTGAGAGTGAAAAGGGTTAGGAAACGTTTTTAAAGGGGTTTCCTGTACAGGTGCAGTTTACATAAGTAAGTTATTTTGTAGTGATTTTGAGCCATCTATATAATTGATGCTGGTCTTGTGAGCTATGACAGGAATCTTGGTTTACTCTTCGTGATTATGGCTTCAGATCTTACAACTTTGTGAATTATGGACCCATGCCATAGCAATTTCTTTTTGTTCATTTACCAAACTGTTTATAGAGTACCACATATTGTACAATTAGAACTGAAATGTGTAGAAGTCAAGAAATAATGATTGATGTTTTGTTAAACAATCTTGGCACCATGCAGTCTTTTTTTTTTTCTGTGAAGCGCTGCATGGATGCCCAAAGAGCATGAGTAGATTTGTACAGTGCTTAGACTTGGCCTTGTTTAGCTATGGAGGTAGAAATTACAGTTCTTAGAAGATTATTAGACCACGCACTCTGTGAGTGTTTTTCGGTTTATACCCATTTGCGTCAGATTCTTTTTCAGCAGATGAGTGCCTGGTGCAATTCATCTGCTTATTATTATAATTTAATTCAATGAAAATAAAAGTTGGATTGAAGCAAAGTGTGTGTCTTTATTTGTCAACAAATTGTTTGGGGTTACCGATTTGCTGAAATTATTTACTTAATATCCTTTATACCCTAACATCTAGACCTCAAAAATTTGTGGGAGAGAATGGCGCTTGCTTTCTTTTTCAAGCCTTCCTCCTGCAGTTGAACTCAGGTTCCGCCGTCTCTGTACGAGTTGGTAACCCACAATGCTTTATTTTTGCAACCAGCTCTTTCTAAATTATTTTAGTTTCTTCCTACCTTCGCCACCAGATTGCCTTCCAGAGCACCATCTTTAAAAAGCACCGCATATATCGCACAACAAGAGTAAAATTAGGAAACTCTGGTACGAGTGGCAACTCGAATTTCTGGTGCGTAGTAGAGAATAAAAGACCTACCGATGCCTCGGTTTGATGCTTTCTGACGCGGTTAGGAAACTGGGTCGAGTGAGTAAATTTTTCTTTAGATCTTCTCTATTTTTCCGTTGGCATGGCTCGCCGTGAGACTTAGTGAAACCTGATGTTCAGAAGCGGGATCTGTGATGATTCACATTCGGTGTGTTCGGAAAGTTTGCCAAGAAGCCAAATCGCTTGATTCGCAACTTAGTTTAAACAAATCGAACATGGATTTTACAATAATTATGAAAGCTCTCACACGTTGATCGGTCGACGACCATCGTTAGTGAGAGTTACACAGATTTGTAAGCCACGGCTTACGATAAATTCGCCTCCACCCCCCTCCCTACGAGTTCGTCACAACTTCGTCCCCATCAAAATGCAACAAGTGCTCGCAACTTTCCATTTTCAGACATTTCTTTGCGACAAAACATGTTTCGACTAAGATGAACTTATAAGTTAGCTTGATCAATCCACTTACTTCTGGCTGTAACTCAGATGTTCGTTAGAACAAGAGTAAAGTGCCTTACTTGTTTTCATTTGTTAACTTACAAAATGCGTTTTTCTTTTAGCTGAAGTCGATTCTGTACAAGTCAAGGGTCTTGCGCCTGACTAAATTTTGAAAAAACTTTTTTTGGTTTTTAATAGCTATATGCATCGAACATTTCAATTTTAACAAATTTAATTTACGATTTTATAATTAATTGTTGACGTATTCTCTACGTATTCTCTACTAGTTAACGCTTGTTTTTCTAAAAACTTCGTTTATTCAAGATCTTATTTTTAGACAAATCTCTCTGAATTCAGTAACTCGAACAGCTGTAAACTGAAAAAAATTGACATTTTATTTTGAGACAAATTACTTTGTCCTCGAGGAGTTTCTTGCTTCTTCTCTCTGTACGTGCCGCTTTCGACTTAAAACTCAATCAATATACATAGCACTTATAAACAATTATTACCTCAAATAGCGAAACACAATTAATGTCGATTCATGGTTTAATTCGGTCGTCGACGTGGCTTTTCGGAAAGGTTCGGCAATTTTCCGGCTTTCCGAAAAGTTTACGATTGCATCCGTTTACGTCATCGTAATTACAACCGCAGTCCGCAAATGGAAGAGGATGTATCTCTTTGACGCACGAAAGAAACGTCTCCTCAGAAATGTATATTTTTTGTCTTCCTATGGATACTAGACAAATAAACCACAAAAATACCTGTGAGTTAAGTCTTGCGAAATTGGAGAAAAGAATATCAAAGAAAACAAAGGCCACTTTGTTTTTGTCGTCACGGACGAGAAATAATAACATTCAAGATCACGCGCGCTTCTATTCTGAGATCGAATATCGAGGCGTGAAGCGTGCCTTGCCGCACAACCAATATCATTTCCCTAAATCGACCTATTTATCCAAGTGAAATGTTTAAAAATTACGAAACTTTATGAGCGCAAAACGGGCTAATGCAATATGCTAAGCAACAAGGCTCAAACGATACTTCAGAAAAGTTTTCAAAGTTTTTTTCAGAAGTTTATGTGCCAAGTTAAGGTTGCATGATCATTAGGCGTCGTCGCTTTAAATAAGTCTTCCTTTCTTTTATGATTTAGTTGATGATTCTTCGATAGCTCTTGGCAAAAAGTCCTTGTAGAGGTTGTTGATGTCTATGGTTAGTCGCGCCGCGCTCCTAAACTTCAAGGGTCATTGCCCCTTTATGATTCGTGCAGCGGAGTGCAACAGTCTAATGATCTGTGACGCAACGGTGTGTTTCTGAGAATTGAAGGACGTGTGCGCGTACTTGCGAAGAAAAGTAACAATATCTTCTCGGAAAAGTCACTACAAAAGTTTCTATATCGATGGATCAAATTTAGAACCTTCGGCGGTTACAGCAAATACCAAAAGCAAAATATACTTCTAATTTTCTTCTTATGCTATTAAGTCTTAGAGGAAATTAGCAGAAAAGATAAAAAATTATTCTATTCTAAGCAGATGTATAACTTTTCACATTGCATAAGCGGACAAGAGGCAAATAACAAAAGTCAAAGTCATGCAGCTATCCTCTCGGGTAAACGTGATTCTTGTAAAAGCTATGACAGAGAGAGTCAAATTGTTAGTTAAGTCTTAAATAGTTCTCCCATGAAAAGTAAAATAAAGTTGACAAAGACTACTAAAAAGAGTTTAAAGATTCCAGATTAAAATATCATTCGATAATCAGACGGTTTTGTTAGGTTGTTATTCCCATACTCCGACCAAAGACAGCTCTCAAGATTGTTGATACCGTGTTTGTTCAGCTCGCACAGAGGCCATTCCTGTGAAATGTGAAATTTTCTGGTTCAATGCTTCTTTTTTAAAAAAGATAATAAGTTTCATGAATGAAACACGATAGAACTAACTTTATTGCCACAAGTTTAACTAACCCCCTAACTATTCTTGTCAAACAAACCTTCAATATTACTCGGGTCTCGGAAAAAAACTTACATCATTTTCCCAGAAAGCTTATCTTAATCTCATTCAAGCTGTACGTGACTCCGGAAACAATACTGAAGCCCTCACCAGCTTGTTTACAAAATATGTTTTAAAGCTTCAATTATTTTTAGATTACCGCAAGCCAAGCTTCCTTCGGTTTTGGCGATACAGAACCGATTAACGAGATTAATACACATTTAAATGGAAGTGTGATTGAGTTTGGACAGGTTTCCTTGAAAAAATCTGTCGAAAGAAAAACAATGGTTATATATAGTCAACCACTTTGATTTCAGTTTCTTGTTATTCATTATTTGTAAAATTAGCCAGCTGACCGCGACCAGTCCTCGACTAGTACAATATCACAACAAAACCAGTGTTATTAATGAGTATTCAGCCGCAAAGCAGACCGTTATATTCTTTCCAGTCTGTTCTATAAGTGGCTTTAAAAATGCTTTGCTTTTTTTTCAGAACTGTTCTTTTATCTTTTCTTCTTTTGAGCTTAGTCCCTAAATCTTAAAAAAAATTCCTCTAACTTTTGATATTTGCAACCATTAAAACGTAGAGAGTCAAGTCATGTCCACAAAAGCAAATCATACTTGTAAGACTTATCAAAAATACTGCGGATCTTCCAACATAGTCTTAATTATACAATTCGGAAATCACATTGAACACATCGTGCCTGTAAAAAGATACTCATTTTATTTCAATTATGTATTGGCGTATCGGAAAGTTGTTAAATCCTATTGTTCTCTTGCCAAAGTTTAAATCAAATGTTTTTAACTGCTGGGGGCAGTTTCATCTCATTTAAAGTGTTTTCAGGATTCGCTAAGCTAAACAAAACTCATCCACCGTAAACTTCACTCTTAATAAGATTAAAATAAGATTTATGCCAGAGGTGAACAAAGATTTTCTTTCAATTTCGAAATACCGCGCTCACTAGCTTTCTTTCCACTAAACCGCGCTGACCAATACCGAAAATATTCGTGCTCTTTATCATCATGTTTGTTTTTGTAACATCTTTCGATCACGAGCGCAAACGAACGACCGGCTGAAAGTTCTCTCCTCACAGACATTTCTATCAGGTTTTTCTTTTCTTTATATTTTTACCCGTCGAAAAACAAACTGAAATAAATACAAATAAAAACGTGAGAAGATTAAGGGAGATTTTCTTCTTTTATCTGAGATTTCTTTAGTATCTTTAATATAATTCAAACGTTTTGACGACTTGATCGAGTTTTCATCGATCAAGGTGATGGTCTGTCACTCAAAAGACCGAAACAATAGTTATGTCAAAGGCTATAAAGTAGATACTGGCTTGAAAAAAAGTTAATACGATCATGAATATTTTGAAACCAAAAAATTACGTTGCACGTCCAAATTTCCGATCCACGGTAGCTGCATGTGTTTATGTCAGTCCAGATGAAAAAACACCCGCTATAAAATAAATCAAACTGAAAGAGTTAATGCACCGGCGATCGTATGGACGACGGAAGTGCTTAACATAAAGGTCATATCGAAATTGTTGAATGTGAAATCAGAAAAACTTTGCACGGTCTTCAGGCGCTAAAAGTTGAAGACATAACTTCTGAAATATTTGGTACCTTGAATGAATTAGCCTCACTTATTTCTGGGCTTGTTGTCAAAACGAAGTGACATTATGCCGGAACTGTCTCGTTTACAAAGTTTGCTTGAGTCAGTGAAGAAGCGATCTGATTGCAAGTGATCTCTCTACTGATTCATCAGATTTTAGAACACCAAGACCCGTTTTTTGTACGGTAACCGTTGCTTATATAGACCATTTCCCTTTCCTGCCTGCCAGACATCTGTCAGTTTAATTGATCACTGAAGACTCCCTAGTTTGATATTTTACACTTTTCTTGTCATCTGTATCGATATTGTAAGGAGAAATAACCGATTGCTCGATCCTGAGAGTGAAAGAGTTTAGACATCTCCACAAGGAATTTAGGGTTTTGGAATCTCTAGTTAGTGGACAGGACTGAAGGGTCAGACTCTTCAAGGGACTGGTAACCAGCTAGAGAGTGTAACTTAAATTTAATAGTTACACGAGCCAAAATTCCAAGACTCTTTTTTCTTTTTTTCTTAAGAACACGGAAATCGTAGGGAAACTTTAAGTGA